GGTTAAAAGCGTTACTTAAAAATTAATTACATATTTTAAGATGTATAATAAACTTATTTGTAATATTCACGTTCATCATATACAGCTTTAATATATGTATTCCATTCAGTTACTTTTTGATCTTGCTTCTCTACAGTCTAATTACTAGCATTAAATCGCATAGTTTTATATAAATAACATAGGTCACTTCATAGAGTTAAAAACTTTATTTCAGGTGAATAGTTTTTCTAAATTTGACAAAAAATACTTAAACTGATAGTTAATTTTTCAATGCTTTCATATTGTTAAATTGCCATTAAATACTTCCGATGCAAAGTTGAATAGTTTTCAATAGCAGGTAAAAAAATAACTTCTATTATTTTACATCTGAAATGTTGTTTTAAGGTAAAAATCAAATATATAAAAATGTAAATAAAATATAATATAATGTTAAAATATATACTTGATAATGAAAGACCCTATCTGTTAGCATAACTTAATATAAAACTAACAATTTTTATAATTGTTAAAAATAAGATTGTTTTATTACTAGTAGAGCTTCAAATCAGATCAGGTCGACCTATTTACCTGATCTGATCTGATCTGAAAATTCAGATCAGGTCAGTAGATTTTCAGGTTAATATCAGGTCAGGTCAACAGGTCGACCTGACCTGACCTGATCTGACAAAATTTATGTTAATCAATCATTGTTCTTGAAAAATATTTTATCATTCAATTAAAACAATTCATTATTATTCTTTAACGATAGTTTTATCATTCAAGAACATTGATTTTATAATTCAGTTAGATCAGGTCAGGTCAGGTCAAATGAAAATTTAAATCAGGTCAGATTTTTGTTTAACCTGACCTGATCCTCTCAGTTCAAGTAACTTGATTGATCTGATCTGAACTGACCTGTTCAGAGCTCTAATCAGCATATATGCATGCTAAAAATAATATGGAATAGATCAAATGTAAATGTCATTATTATAATATATCTTATATTACAAATTTTAAAATTATGTACTACATAATTAACTTTTCGTTCAACTTCTTAAATTAACTGTTAACAATGAGGAATATACATTTATTCTTTCTTTTTTATAATAAAGGACAAATTTATTCTTTTTTGAAAAACATATATCATGAGTTTTATTTAAATAAAATTTTATACATAAATTTTTTAAAGTTGTATTTATAATATTTAGTATGTTAAAGACAAAAACAAGAAAGACAAAAATAAAAATAAAATATTTTAATATTATAAATATAGGCAAAAAGTCACATAATTTTAGAGAATTCTTTACATTAATTAATCCGCTAAAAAAACAGCCAATAAATAAGCTGTTTGTAATTTTTATATAAAGGAATATTCATTTTCAGTGGCATCAGTCAATATTGGTTGCTTTGTTTTAAATAAAGCAAAACTTTATCATGAACATCTTGTAAAATGTACAAATTTTAAAAATTAAGTAATAGAAAGTAAAAGAAAAAAAATTTTAACTAGAAGTGTGTCAGAAGATAATAAAAAAATTAAAAAGAAAAAAATTGACACAAAAAATATAAACATAATTGAAGGTACTAAATATTTAATAGTTTTAAATTACATTTTTCTTCTTAATTCTTTTAATTTTTTAATTTCTAACAAAAATGTCAATATTCTTTTTTATAATATAAATTTTTAGATTCTGAAAGTGAAGATGAAAGTGATGAAAAAAATGATGGTGATGATAATGAAACTTCAATTTAATTACTAAAACCAATCACTACTACTCAATTACTTATTATAAATTATTTATCATAACTTTTAACAAAGAAAGATAAGTCATAATTTGAAAACTTACTATTATGAATATTAGTTTTAAATGGATTATCTTTTACTTTTTTAAAAATCAAGAAATAAAAGATGTATTTGAATTTATTGCTTCAGCCTTAAAATTACCAAGTCAAAAAAAGATGAATGATCAAATTTTATCAAAATTAACTAAAATGTTAACAGAATCTATTATAAAAATTGCATAAAATAATAAAATTGAAGTAACAGCAGCATTTGATAGTTAGATAAATGTTAAATAAGAGCATTTATTTAATATTATTTTTATAACATCAACAGGTAAAATACTCATTTGGATGCATAAGATATAAGTGATATAAGATCAAAAATTGAAAATATAATTGATCATATTAAAAGTATAATGATTGAAGCTGAAAAAAATAATATTAAAATAAATTGTTTTATATTTGACTCAGCAGGTAAATATACTACTGTGCAATATATATAAATTTTATTATTTTACAATTTTATATATTAATTATTAATTAATTAATTTATTTTAATAGAAGGATTATGTGAAAAGATTATTCTAATAAGATATTTTTATCTTACATGGCTCACCAAATGAATTTAATTATAGAAGATACCTTTAAAGAATCAGATATTTATTAGTAAATTTCAATAAGAGCTATTAAAATTGTTAGTTATTTTCATTTATTAACTTATTTTACTGGTCTATTACGAAATAAGCAAGAATTATTATATGGTAAAACAATAGCTTTAGCTACTTTAAATGAAATATATTAGAATAGTTATTATTTCTATTTTTATAGTATTTTAAAAACTGAAGCAGCACTTAAGGTAAATTTATACTTTAGTTTATTGATTAATGAATAAATATTTATTTAATTTTATTTTTTTAGAATTTAACTATAAAATTTACATCTGAATTTCTTGAAGGTTCTTCTATATCTTGAAGTGATTATAAGAGATAAAGACATATTTTAAATACAGATAAAAAATTCCTTCCTCTAGATATAATTGTCATCATTAATAACCATAATTTTTGGAGCTATCTGTATGAACCTTAAGATCTAATTTTACCTCTTTATACAGCATTAAATAAATTACAAAAAGATATAACATGATTACATAAAGTAATTCTTGCTTTTGGATAGATAACTAAAGTATTTTTAGTCATCAAAATAAGGATTTTTCTAATCAAATAATTACCCATCTTGAAAATTGTTAGAATTAATAAGAATAACCTCTCTTACTTTTATCTTTAGTTTTACATCTACAGTATCATCTTTCACTTTTTAATAACAATATTCTAAATCTTTCTTATACTTATTTTTGTCAGTGGATCAATTATTATTATTAGGTTTGGTTTAGTATGATACTACAATATATTTTACATGAATATCTTTCTTATCAACGAAAAGTTTATCCTTTTGATATGTAAACTTTTAATCAACTTGATGGGGATATAATAGATTTTTGGGATTTAGCAAAAGGGTAAACAATTAAATTATTATACTTTACACTTTATTTATATGGAATTTGTATTAATTCTGTCTCAGTAGAGTGACTATGGAATTTTTATACTTCAAAAGGTGAAATTGACTTTATATAAGTAAAATTTAGACTTTTATTGATTTATTTACTTTTTGATATGTTATTAAATATTTTAATTTAATTTAAAGCATTAAAAAGTGCTTGAAATGAATCAATTAAGGAGTGATATTTTGCATAAAAGAAAAAAATTTGAAGTTGAAAAATCAGAAAAAATTTATAAACAAAATCATATAGCGACTCCTATACAATTCTATGAAATTTCTGATATTTTAAAAATTTCTAAAACTTCTGAAAAAGAAGATGATGATAATGAAATGGCTAATAATATAATAATTAGTAATAAAGAAAAATCCTTTACATAATTTCATGAACCTGATTTTAAATAGAATGACAATGAAATTATTGATTCAACAGAACAATCGATATATATAATTTAAAATTGGATGGATATGATTGGTGAGAAAAATTTTTCAGATAGTGATAAGGCAAATTTATCAGCTTTTATAACTGTAGACTATACTATTTATCCAACTGATAATCTGCTTACAAAATGGCATCTTAGTAGAATTTTCAATAATAGATTTGAATCGCTTGAATTTGTGAATATATTGATAATTAAGGTTAGATTAGAAATACTAGTAATAATATCATTTTAATAAAAAATTGTTTAAACTTGTATCATTTAAGTTTTCATATTATTTATTTATAATTTATTTATAATTTATTAAAATATAAAAAAATAATTTATTTAAAATAGTAATTACAAATAGAAAAGAAATTTAAATTATAATTTTTTATAATTTTTAAATTTAGTTTGTTAATAATCTACATTTAATAAATATTTTAAAGATCATTAAATAATATAATTACCTAATTTATATATAAAATATGAAAAAATGATTAGTTTAGGAAATGACCATGTCATTTGTTATTTAGTGCTATCATACTTAGTTTATTTACTTAGTTTAATTACTTATAATACTTAACGATCCCAAGGATATCAAACAGTAAGGTATAAGTTAATAAGTTTACTTGAAATTAGTAGTGAAACGATTTGGATCATCCGCGGATAAAACTATTCATCTATCAGATAAAAAAGTGATTCAGATGATTATTATATATCCGCAGGAAACCAAATAAACAATCTGCAGATTATATGCCAAATATTCACGAATGATCAACAGATCACATAGATAATAAAAAATCTGCAAATATCTGCATATCTGTGAATTTCTCTAAAAGAAATTTGACATTTCTACGCATTTATAATAAAAAATAAAAACAAAATATTTTATTTCCCAATTTTATAATTCTCATTTTACTATAATTTTATTATATTATCAGTTATCCAAAATTTATATACTAGAATTTTCCAGATTCCAGAGAAGGATGGATACTTTTAACAAATAATGAATTTTTCTTTAAAAATATAAGCCTATTAAATAATTTAGGATTTAAACGGGTTCTTTAGCTGTTAATAGATTACCAGCATCACTAAATAACCTCTCACTTGGGGTTGAGGTAGCTGGAATCGGAAGATAAATTCTAGCTAACTTTAAAAGAATTGGAAATTATTCTTTGTGATCACACCACCAAATAAAGGATCCAAATCAAAACCTAATTCATATAAAGATAAGTAAATGGTTACTTCATTTTCTTGTGTGAGATTTTATTTAAAGATTGAAAATAAAGAGGATTTGCTAGGTAGTAGAATGGTAGGCATTGTTGATAAAAAATCAGCTTTAAGCTGATCGTATTTGCTTTTTAATAGATCTTTTGTTTTATTACGAATTTCTTCATCAACAAATCCAAGACACTTAATCCTAGAATCAAGTATTGCTAAAATAAGAACCCCTTTCTCTTCTTTATTCCAATATAATTCCATTGCATTACACAGATGAAGCTTTACCTTTTCCAACATTTTATTAGTTCTAAATGGTTGATTTAAGTTTAGCCTTCTTCCTGATATATTTTTTTCAACTCATTCTCCTTCTTCTTTCTCTTCAAAAACATCAATATTTTTCTCCATCCTATTTACATCTTAAGGTTTATCTTTTGGTTTCACGCATTTTTTAATTTTTTTTAATAATGGACTCATAATGCTATGAGTCACATATTTGCTAGCACCTAAGTAAGTTGTAGCTTCAGCAAATCCTTTCAAAACTTCACATAATTTTGCTAATAACTCCTATTTATCTTTAGTTAGCATAATTTCAGATAGCCGTTGGCTATCTCTTTTTGAATCAACATCACTAATAATTGGTAATGTAGTTACTAGATATCAATATATGGTTTTATTTTTAGCAGTCTCTTCCAAGCCAGAAAACTTGAATTCCAACGTGTTTGAACGTCTGCAATGCAATGGTGTAGGTATGTGCTTGTTTTTCCAGAATTCTAAATTAATATACTTTTATTTATTGAAAAAATGATCATTTTTTTAAAATATATCATACCACTTGGTTTTCAATATTTATTTGAATATTTTCTAGCCTTTCCGATTGCTTTGGTCTCAAGAAGAAGTCAATTAATCATTTGGTTCTTAATATAAGTAATTCTACGCATGCAAGCCCTTTTTCTATAACAAGTTATAAAGTATGAGCAGTACAAGGCTGCCAGGTAATGTTATGAGAAATTTCGCTCATATCCTTAATTGCTCTTTTCATGTTGGAACTATTATCTGTGGTAATTACATTAACCTTTTCTCTTAACATCCATAGATCTAATAATTCAAGCAAAGTATCACTAATGTGATCTGCAGTATGTGAATATCGAACGTAAGTGATCGTAAGAACAAGCTCGTATAGCTGAAAATTCTTATCTAATAAGCAACATATAGCTCCAATGTAACCTTGTCGATTTCGAGTAGTCCAAAGATCAGTAGTTAAGTTGACTGAGATTGCATGATCTTCAATATATTAAACAATTAGGGGGATACGTATGGTTATATGTACGATGAATAATTTGTTTTACCAATTTTACATCAGGTGCAATAAATCCTGGATTCAAATCATGTAAAAATTTCTGAAACATATCACTTTGAATAAGTTTAAGTGGCATTGAATCAGCAATAAACCAATCAATAAGTGATTGGCGAAGTTTCTCTTGTTTAGCTTCTTTATGTGGTCTTACATTGTTGGTGAGTGTGGTTTGAATCTATTTTTAAAATAATATTAATTAATATTTATTTTTAAACTATTATTATAGCAAAAGGATATTAACCATGATCTTCCTTTTACATTTGTATTTTCAGTAATTTGATATGATCCAGCAAGATGCGCAATGAGATTACTTGTTGAGTTTCCACTTGAATAGACCTTTCCATAAAGCTGTTCATCTGTTTTTTTAACTAAACATTCAGCACCAGCATTTTTATTATCAAGCAGTACAGAATCCTACCATTTCTACACCCAGCTTTTATACTTGTGTGTTTTTTCAAGTGTTTTTACTTTTTTGGGGATGCGTTCTGATATTTGTTTTTTTGAGTGTTTATTAGATGGTGAAGCAGTTTGATTAGATCCTTCTCCTTTATTATCATGATCACTTAAAGGTATAAGTGGGACAGTTTCTTCAGTCATCATTAATTTTGAAAGAAAAAATATATGAAAAAGAATCAGGTGGGAATATAATTTTGAAATTTACACAAATAACACGATCATATGATCTATAATATAATGTTTGTACCTGATTTTAGGTTTTAGATTGGTAAAGTATTTTCTAAAATAGGTTGGAAATTGTAGGACGATAATCCAAAAATGTAAATATGTCTAACAAAAGTGAATGTATTGTATAGATGATTTATGTGTTTAAATATAAAAATTTTCAAAAAATTTTGTTCAATGTCGTTTATTTAAAAAAATTATAGCAAAGTACTTGAGTAGCTAAATAAAGAAATAATGAAAACAATCAAATTAAATATTAAAATAAGAATAATTTAGATTTTATATAAAATTAATTTGAAACAATTATATTTAATATATTATCTTATGGATACTATAATAACTATATAGTGAATATCCGCGGATTGATCTACAGATTTGTTATTTAATTCGTGAAATATCTGTGAATATTTGCAAATTATTTGTGGATAAATTTTACAAATTCGCAATACTTAAAATTGTTAAGAAAGTAATTTATTAAATAGCAAGATAATAATTATATAGGATAATATATTGATTAATATACAGTAAATCATGTGATTAGGCATAGTAGATATTTGTTGTATAAAAATAGTTAGAATAGGCAAATGATGTAATTAGCTTGATAATGTAATTAGCCAAATACTTGTAATTAACTATATTTAGAATACAGAAGACAGAAAATAAAGTACTGAATAATAGGAATAAAAAATAGAAGTACTGGTAAGAATTACAGAAGTATAAATGATAAATATATATGAATGATTACAGATAATCTATTAAATTATTATTTGATTATTTGGTCTTATAATAGTGCCAAAATAACCCAAATGACATGTGACTAGTCATTTGAGTTTTTTGAGATCATTTGGATCACTAACCATCACTGACTACTAGTAATTTAAAAAGAATTTAATATGATCTATAAATTATTTTAATTCATTTAAAATAAAAAATAA